AGGTGATATCTTTTGACTGGTAAAGCGCAACATGTTTTCAATACTTGAACTTATCAGGCTGTATGTCAAAAGTTGGTAATTTCCTTTTTAATACATTCAAACTTAGTCAGGAAAAGGTTATGCTTACAATTACAGGTTCAATCTTTTTCTTTGTATGATCTTTTACATATTGTATCCTACTGATAGACTTATTCAAAGGTCGTTTCTTGTAGTAGAAGATAGTCATGGCTGCAATTTTGGTGATTGTATCTCAGGGACTATACTCAGCCATCGATCTGCATGTCAGGTTTCATGATGCAGCCCTTTGAAACGCGAGTGCACACAAAATTTTGACGATCCAGAGGCAAACGATACCTTCGAAGTGATTCTTAGAAAACCTGGAGGCAGAGTGGATGTTCGATGAACTTTGATCTGCGCACTGTTCTTAACTTGGCCTTAAATCGCAGCGAGGAAAAGGAATGACAGCGCTTTGTGAACCAGTCTTCATGCAGTTGTCCCAACTGCATAAATTGGCCGTATCTCAACAGATTCGGAACATCGAGAATGGCTATATATTCACAGAAAATTCGACGTCTTCCAGTGCGTCCACAAGCCTTACAGGATGAATACAATTAGACCACAGTGAGGCTGCGTTGAAATTTTCAAAGATCGTTCATTACACATTGAATCTATGAATACTTCTGAGAAGGTCCTTAATGAAAATTGTTCTGGACTGATTGGTACATAATAATATACAAAAGATAAATTCTATAGATACTACAGATTTTCGCTGCAATTAGGGGGTTTAGATTACTTCATTAGCAGTGAAATTTCCAGCTCTAGATAATGTACTCGATCTTGCTTTGCTTTAGAGCATAATGTAGTCTGCAGAATGAGCTCTTACATCAACTATACCTGGAGTCGCTTAGGTTAGAGCATTGACTTATCAATGCTAACCTATTTGCACTGATCCCTAAACTTCACTTGCTCGTCTGTCGTCTAAGCTCGTCCTATACGGTCATGAAGCCACCATGCTTCAGCGCGTACTCTGATTATGAGCTAAAAATCGATAGTGCGTGCACACATTTATGCTAATGTGTTCACATAGACGAGCACTGTCCATATGGATGTGAATGAAAGGAACAGAGACAACGAGAGTCACGATGATTGGCTTCATTGAAACAGGTCTCCAAACTCTTGACTTCGGAGGATTTCGAATTCTGATGGACGAGGTTAACAAGAAATCATCAACGTCAACGTCCAAGCGTGCTCATTCTTCCGTTGCATGGTTTGCCTTACTAATCTCTTCGAACTCAAAAAAACCAAATACCTGCTCCATGGCAGCATGGACTCGAATGCCAGCGGCCATGCTCGAACAGCCAATCAGTTTTCAATATTTGACAGGAACAACTCTACGTATGTCGTGTATCCACACATCATGAATTCAGTCGAGTGAGTCTTTGCGAAAAGTAACCGTCAAGGAAGTTCCAAATATTTGTTCATTATGGAGATGAAGGCCTAATCGAGCATGGTCATCGTTTTCTTCATCATCAAGCCTGCATGGATGCTGTGTACAAACGCAGGGCCGCCAGGTGCCATGAGGGGAGTCCTTGCCGAGAAGCTACAGGCCTTCATTATAATTATCGAAGTCCTTACCGGAGGCTCCCGGATTCCCCTTCTAAGGAAGCTATAATCTGCCGTATCGTGTAATATAGGGTCGGGTGATGATGACCTTAACCAGCGATTCAATATGCAGCTCGGTTCCAATATAGACCGAGCAATCCGATTTTTTCTACTATCATGTCGGTAGCTTACAGGGTTAGCATCTGATTGCTGAGTATCTGATCCTCAACGATCAGATGCTAACCCATGACGATCTCGTCTCAATCGTGTAGATAATGTCCGGCAACACGTCCCTGATTAGAGAAGGCAGCTGGGATGGTATTCATGCCGTGCATCGGATCGAGAATGAAAATTGCACTTTGTTTCAGGATCAAACCCGATAGGCGACGAGTTTGATTGTCAAAGTTCTAGAGGTAGACAAAGATCACCGAAGGAAAGTCTGAGGGGCCCGACTTCAAATCTAGATTAAAGCAACAATGACTCAATGTTTCCACCGCTCCGTAAAACCTCCCCTATCGATCCATAATGAGATTGCGATTTCTTCTAGGGTTGTGTTGAGGACGTCCACCGAGCATGTACACGGTGAGGCAGATTGCACTCATGATTCTGAAGATATCAGTCCCATGTATAATATTTGGTCCTTAACACTAGATTCTACTTAGTCGTGCAGCTTGACTGCAACCTGTTGTTGTACGAATTGTGTTGCCGAAGTTTCACTCCAGGTTGATACTTGTTATGCCACAGTCAGCACCTCCAAGACATTGATGGACTTACCGGTGAGGGTCTGTGGAGGACTAATACTTATCGTGCATCGAATGGAGGAAATTGTTGGACGACATGGTTCTCCAAGTTAAGTATGATCAGAACTTCGTGTTCAACATCGCCGTCAGCGTATCTCCATAATGGGTTTCAAATACGATGCAGTGTGAAAGGGCGAGTGCAAGCCTGATCTGTGCCACCATTCTTCCCCTCTGCGTCATCAATCTCAGATTCAGATCTTACACAGTAGCTGGTAAAACTTTTAAGCGATGAAAAGCTGAAAGCATTCTCATATTTTGTTATCTTGTAAGTTCTTAAATTCTGTATATTTTTCCAAATAAAAATGAGAAAAATGCTATAAAATAATAAATTACCAATCTAATATTATAAAAGCTAAATGACCATTATACATTACTAAAACTTAATTTAAATATTAAATTATTTGAAATAAAATTGTAATTTTTAAAATCTGGCCATAAAAAAATAGAAATAGAAATTTCTAAAATTTAACATGAAAATTTAATTGGATATAATTCACATCATCACTTTTAAAATCAATGTATATAACGGTAATTTCAATATTTATTTTATTTAATTTTTTCCATTTTAAACTATCAATTTGTTGTGCAAATGCATTCATGTGATATCAAAAATTTCAACAAGTGTACAACAATGCATTAACATCATTCATTACAAGTTTAATATATTCACACAATCTAGATTAATTATATCCTTAAACACAAAATTATCTGTAATAATTTTAAATAATTTTGTTTTGAAATTTTTTTCTGAAATTTTTTTTGATTAAAATCAAATTTCTAGATTAAGAATGATTCATTGGGATTTATTTTTTTTAATTTTTAATTACGTTTTTTATTTCTCTTGTTAATATGATCAAATTATATATATATATATATATATATATATATATTACATTTATCTGCAATCTATATTGTAAATATAAATTTCAATAAAAAAAATCAAAACACATATAATTCAAGTTAAATATTTTTATTATACCATTTTTGTGTTTAAAATAAATTTCTATATAATAATTATCATTATGTAGTTTTTTTAATTATTGTAAATAAATGATATAATATTTAATAAAAACCATTTTTTAAATACCACAACGTTGTGGTATAATCACCACTTATTCCTTTCTTTAATTATAGAACTTAATTCACAAGTTTTGTATTTTTGAAAATTATGCCAATTTTTTTTTCTTAAGAAAAATCGCTGAAAAATAACATATGTTAGACATAACAAATATCACAATATTTGCATATTTTGATATGAATAAAACTTTTAAATAATGATGATATTCTTATCTTTCTATTCTTTCCTATAACTAACATATTTTTAAAATTTTATTATTAATTCCATTTATAAATATAAGAATTTTCCAAAAAAAATTTAAAATGAAAAGAATTGTGTAATCTTTTCATCACTATTTGAAACGTAATTCATACTTCTTCTGTTATTATCGCTTCACTTTTTATTCATTTTTTCATTCAATTAATTCATAATTTTTATTTAAAAATAATAATTATTACTATATGAAAAATGTATAATTACACTATTTGAAAATTTGAATATTTTAATTTTAAATTTAATTTGTGCTTTTCATTCATAATGATTCATTAATTCATAGGCTACAATGCTTATTCTCGTTGTTATTTTGACGATATTTTAAACTAAAAACAAAAATCCTTACTTGACAGTGAAAGAGTATCGATCATGACTGCGTGAACTCTTCTTTGAGCCAATATTGAACCTGGTACGGCTGCTTATTGCATCTGTGAAAGAGAAGCCACATTCTTCATTTCGACAACGTCTTTTGTAACTCTTTAATAAAAACTTTCTTGCTTTTTCTATATCTTTCACCCAACCTGTTCTCTTTGAAAGAAGGGAATGTGGATAAACGAATGTTGACTTTTCGACACTATATTTAGCCATATTTCTTTTGATGCTCTTCACAGATGTGACCTTGTTCCTCCATGCAAGGTTTTGTTGCTTCTGGTAACTCTACGGACGTATTCTATCTCTTTCTCGTTGTGCGGTTGTCGCTGCTACTAGGACGTGACGGTGGTAGAATAAGCTTTCCGAAACCTTGTTGTGGAATCTTGTTGCTTGTTACTATTTCATCGGAGCTGTAGTGTTCACGATTGGTGATGCCTTCGTTGGAACTCCGACTTGACTGTGCCACTACTACAGTAGTGGCGGAGTCTGTCGTGGCCATTTTCTTTAACTGCTTACTCTAGGGGACAGCTATAAACATGATATTTGTCGGAGCAACCAATGCTCTGCGTCTTTTGAAAGGCAATGACGCCATTGCAGATGCAATGTGACATTCAATTCGATACATATATCCGGGCTTGATGAAGACTTTTGACTAACAACTCTCCATAGTTCCATGTACTTGTGCCAAGATTGCATTACCTCATTTTACCTTGACCTACTGTACTTTTGCTGACAAAGTTCCATCCATGCACGTTAAATGCACATAATTCTTTACCGACACGCAACCCCGTAGGCAAACATCGGAGTATGATATGATGGATGATAATTTCACTCTCTATTGATAATCAATCATTGGTGCTACTAACAAAACCAATGGGCCAGAAGACACTTCAGACTGGAAATATGTGGGAGTTTATTGAGTCGCTTCGAGGAGCATACTGAGCATTATAATTCCCACTACAACATGGAAGTACAATATGACTTCGGTCCTTTATCTTCGGTGCTGTTAACCAGGAATCAAGTGGCAAACACCATACATATGTGTAACATCGCCTCTTAAAGGCCATAGCAACTGTGACTTTACCCTCTACTTGATCCACAAAAATCTCTTAGCTGGATAGATGTAAACCAAGTGCTTCTTCGGCAACTCGCATTGTCTTATTGCCTCCCATCTTCTCATACGCCTTCAACAATTCGACTTTCCCTTCCGTATTGAACTGACTTTCGATTCCCCTTGCAACAAGCTCCATCTCCGGCTGCAAACGACGATAAGTTGAAGATATATGCGGATAAGATACTACATGATCAGCCCCAACGGCTTAGCGTGTACTTGACCGAAGCAACGCAATCTAGGTGCTATGTCTCAAAGGTGCCGACGACTTATACTTTAGTACCAGCAATGAAGACGATAGAGAACGTAAGTCATGTCACACATGCAAGGACTGAAGTTCCACGAAAAGGAAAGATAAACCGATGGATGGGTACAAAGAGGCGAGAAGTAGAAAAACGGTGCTATGCATTCAAGAGCCCAGCTGTCGAAAAGACAGTGGTGGTGACTAAGGGTGCAATATAAGGAACCAGTCCGACGGAAGAAAGTCCTCCGTTATTTTGCGTAGATATAAAGATAGTTTGAAAACAGACGTTTCCTTCAGACGTTTTATATAAATTATCTACTAGAAGATCCAACCAAGTAAAAAGTACATCTGGAGGGGGAACACAGATTTCATCGTCCACATTCTTTTGAAGCAAATCCACTTCTACATACTACATAGCTGGTGATTTTGACCTTCCAGAGATTAAACTTTGAGACAGGAACACAATCCCAGGTTATGTGTCCTTAATATCCTCAGGGCGTTATCGCAGTTCTCAACTCTAGGATGGCTTAATAAGAATGTTAATTGCTAATGGTGGAAATAGAGATTGCGTCTCCTGATATATTGACTCAAAAACCATATACCAGATAAAACTGCCATGAGTTGAGATGCGATCCTTTGCCAAAAATGAGAGGTAAATCACCAAAACTGCCGTAATAGTATCATGTGTTGTTTGACCAAAATTGATTCAAGTAGCTTAGGTTGACCGTACACCGTGACTTTTGCCCAAGATTAGATCGCAGGCATGGACTTGGAAAGGCAAATGTTGGTGGGAAGTTCAATGAATCTCCACCAATATTTTCAAGTTCCAAACTCGTCTTCAATCCTCCAGAATGATTCAAACTAAGGATGATGAGGAACTATGCAGAGAACACACAGAAGCCCGAAATAAAGAACTCAAAACCACCTGTCGAAACTTTGCTGGACACTGGTTGTAACTTCATTGAAAACTTAGGTGTTTTCCAGACACTTTATAGTTGGATTATTTTCTTAAATGGTTGATGCATTGCATCAAGTAAATACGCACTAAGCTGGCGATCTCTGCTTCCGAAGGACATTTACAACAGAGCACTCCTCTCCAAGAAGATGTAATTATTTGGATCCATGCAAAATCAATCATTCGATGTTTGAAAATTGAAAAAAAACACACCATGTTTACATAAATGACCTAGCTTCGACAGTAAGTAGAAAACAGAGGATTAAGAACTTACAGAATCCGAGTCGGGTTGGAAATAAGAATGCATTCGTATTATTTTAACCAGCTCCTCGTCTGCTTCCCTGAACTTTTCTTGCAACTGAAGGGCCTGTCCAGTCATCAACATAATTAGCTAGTGTAAATGGAGTATACAAGTCAGGACTTCAAATTCAAAACTTGAGGTGCAAGAAGGACATTTCGTATAGATGGAGTACGAAGAAGGGCCATCAGCTACCTCATCAAGAGAGCAGGAAGGGGCTGATAAAGAAAAGTCATTTGGTAATAGCTCCAGTTGACATAGAATAGTATTTTGCTCAAAAGCTCTAATTCACAGAGTCGTGCTTGTTCCCGCAAGATTCATGGTGGCCACAAAAACTGAAGTCGGCGTCAGGAGGAGATAATACCCTAACTTGAAGAAAACCAGCGCGAGTACGTGCTGCGACTGCGGCGTTCACCATTGTTGCAGCGCGATCATCCTCTAGACCAATGTTACTTGCCAGCCCAGCAATGAAGCTCACCCCATCTTCACTTCCGAAGTCTGATATCGATGCATCCCCTGTATCACTGCAGAGAGGCAATTGCGTTTTATTGAATCAACTGTATCTATAGATGCAGTGGTAAGTAGCTTATGCAAGCCCATAAATCAACGCTTGGGGTAGAAACGCTAATGTGAAGATACATTGAAGTACTAATCTGCAAGAAAGTCAGTCATTTCCGCTTGAATTAAGTAGTACAGAGAAATGTGAATGTAGATCTAACTGGCTACTTAAGTACGATGTTCGATCAGCATTTGCTTAACAACCGCGCTTTTGTTGGATGAGGATGATGATCAAAAGAATCCTAAGTTTTGTCCTAACAAAGACAACCTCAATCTTGACCTGGACGATTGTGCACTTAGAATCTATATGCAAATATAAACGAAAACTCTATTTGAAGTAATTTCCAAAAAAGCTCTGGATGAGAAGTAAAATCTTGTCAGATGAAGCAGTCAGGAAACAAATACTTTACCAAGGGTTTCCCACAACCAGAAGTTTATCGTTCTTGCGAAGATTTAACAGATAAGAATGATCACGGATCAGATGCAAGAAAAAATCCGCATTTAAGCCCTCCCTCAGTGAAGTAAGAAGATAAAGTCGTCCACGTACAGAGCAAGTATTGGTTCCTTCTACAATCACTACAAAGCTCGAATTAAGAAGGAGATACGTGGAGAAACTTCCATATTGGTACAAGAGCAGAGTTGACATGAGCAGATATACAAGACAAGTGCATACGAAACTGAAGAGCAAGCGGACCAAGCAGGTCTAAGACTACAATAGATAGGTTGATATGAAACCTTGAATAAAGAAAATTCATATGAATTGTTCAACCTTTCTAACCACCACCTAATTTGGATTCTGAGATACTGAAAGCATGGAAAATCAGTGTAACGGTGTGTTTATAACGAGTACAAATTGCTGCAGAAGAACTGAAACTTACTTAAGACAAGTTAGTGAGAAAACGCGATATATCTTGCACAGTTCGAGGAAGAGCAATTGTTCATGAGTAAATGACACAACGGCCCTCACTCTAGCGAGACGAAAACTCCATACGATCACAGATTCCTACGTTCAACGGGAAAATGGCACATAGCATCAAATCGGTGTAGATGAAAAGCAACAAAAAATCTGATTCCTTTAAGAAGACGGAAATGTAAGAGAATAACACGAATGAATGTTCGCAATGAGGTTAAAATGTGGAGAATTGCAAGTACGTAACTGAGAGCTTGGAATAAGTAAAAATCTCAAAACAGCCCAAATACATGTACGTAATTTTTTTTAAACTATATGGTAGAATCATACTTTAAACATGCGTTTGTGAACGTAGTGAGTTTTTGGCTCGGTCTACTTTTTATGATAGCTAGGTTTCAAAGTGTTTCAAGTGTTGGTGAAGGCCATTACGCCATTTATTCACAAATGACTGCTCTTCCTCGAACTTTAAAAGATGTTCTCGCTTGTTTATGTATTTACTACGTTTAGTTCTCCTGCAGCAGTTTTTCGTGCACCCCAAATTATTTTTTCCTTGGTTAGGTAAGTCTTCTCAAATACGTGAGCTTTTGAGGGACAACGCCAAATACGAAAACTGAGATAGTGTGCCCACCTACAGCAAGCCAACAGAACATAATTGATGGCCGCTCGATAGAAGGTGTCCCGGGTGTTGGGCGTGTCGAATTTCACCTTCATCCCAGCCGTCTTACACAGTTGCCTGAGCTGCTCAATACAAAATGTAAAGATTCAAACCCACTAACATTCGCAGATATGGAAATTTTAGATGAGAGTCAAATGAAGACAAAGTGCTGGTCGAGACACAGTTACACTCAACTAATGGAGGTGTAAGACCTGTGCTAACTGGTAGCATATTATGAGGGTGAGACACATGATGTGAGAAAGGGAAAGAGCAGAAATGTAAGGTGATATTGACCTCAATCATGTCTTCAAACGCAAAATCGTAACCAATCAAACGTTTCTGCATTATGCCTGAGACATTTCAAGCATCCAGCAACATATCAGAATTCGGCAAGAAGGTGAACTGCGGGGAGTCAAGAGAACCAACGGAGATACTACTTTGCAATGAAATGGATGCAACCGACCTTGCAGAAGACTGTGAGCCTTCTCTTCAGCTTTTTGACGAGTAATTATGGAAGGTGAAGGTGGCATAAAGGAGGCAGGCCACCAGCCAGGAAGACGAGCTGTCTTTGTCACAGTACCCCGATCCCTCTTGCTTCTAAGAACTTTTTCAGAACGTGAACTTTCAATGCCATCGAGGGGATTGAAAACTCGTGTGGAACTCGTATTCCTACTTCCTGATATTCTTTCACGCGCCTTGAAGCCGCTGCCCAACGCCACTTCTCTCCCTCCCAAACTCCTATCTCGGACGGCCCTTCTCGGCCGAGAAGAATCATCCCAACCCCATCTGTATTCTCTCATGGCATATATCAAGAACTTCACAAACACAGTTCCTAAGACAGACCAAAGAAGTACTTTACCAGCAAAATTGATCGTCGAGCGCTTCACAGCTATCACTACACGTCTATCTTTTTGAACTCTAACGCTGTTACGCAATTCCCTCCACGCCTCGACACCTTCATCGGCAAAATCTTTACCTACCCTCACGACTTTATCCACAGATCGTTGAGCCGCTCTCTTAGCTACTAAAACTCTATCTGCTGCTCGTTGTTTCAATTCTTCCATGTCTAAAGTAATGACAAGTTTGTCGTCCGACCCTCTGTCCCTGCGACTATAGCTCACCCTGTCTACATTCTCGTTTTCTTTGGGTTTTATCTGCGGTGCTCCAAATCCCATGTCCCTTCTCCGGTGATGCCTGCGCCCAGCCTGAGAGCTAATTCGAAACTTGGGTGGCTCTGACCTTGCACAATCTAGGGTCCGAGAGGGAGCAGAGCGGGAATACAATCCGTAACTGCTAAAAAACAGAGGTCTGTGCATACTGAAATTGCTGAGGATATCTTTTGAACCGCTCATAGCTCTCGTTTGATCACAAGTCAAAGGGCCACACAAAAGTTTCGACATCTTTGCACCACCGTATGTCCCCAAAGATTCAAATTGGTAATAATCGGGAGGAACAGAATTGAAATTGCATAACTGGATCCTTAAACCTCCAAATCTTGACCAAACTCCCGTTACATTTGGGAACTACTTCAATGCTGCTGCACAGGAGAATGCAAACACCCCGCAATTTTGTTCATACGGTCCCTTTAGAACTTGCGACAAGAATGATGTCGCAGAAACTACCCTACCAAAACCCATAGATCGAGCAAATTCGTGAGTCCTGAGCACAGGAGGAAACTACTCCAGTTTAACCTTCAAGATATGGAGACAATAAGACAGAAATATTGCGCAAATTCGGCGGTCCACTCCTCATGCCCTTAAACCCTTCAATTGAGCGCTCCGCAAGCCTCCGGTACAACGCTTGGACTCGTGATTCTCGCCACACTGCGGGGAATCTACGAACACTAGCACCATACACTCACAGAACGTTGTCTGGAGCTAGAGAGGTCCCCATAGGCCGTAGTAGTAAGAACAACACGCGCAGAAGGGTCAGATTACTTTCTTGCCGTCACAGGCCCTCCTGCCTTGCTCGTCTATGACTGCTTATGTGACCATTCTATTGTCAGCTCAGGAAAGGGAGAATTGCCGTTTTCTACAATTGAAACTCAAGTACTTCCATTTGAGCGTGTGTTCGTACTTGCACCGAGCATATTGATCCATTGGCAAACCCAAGTTCTGTAAAAGGAATCATATAAATATTTAGATCCTTTTGCTGCTAAGTGCAACAATTTAAATGCCATGGCTCTTCATGAAAACACTCAGTCGACCATGTGTGCAAATTCGGGAGGTACTTCTGCGCTTACAGTATTCCTGAGGTGTGCACGCTTGGATCTAAAATGGTCAAGAGAGAGAATCCCTTTTCATTTTCCTCTCGTAACTCCTAGAGCCATTCTACAATATTACCATATGGCATAATACAGGGCAATGAGAATGTGAAGGAATACTGCCATTGTCAATGGTCATTAATTGGTGGAAAATCTATTGAGTCAACTGCATTCCGCCTTTTTTTTATTCCAAAATGGAAACCATCTACTCCTCCAATCCTCCAATCCTCGTATGATCTGATCTGACGCCAACGTAGTCATTGAGTGAGATGATTTCAACATCTAACTTAACCAATACATCAATGGAGTCTCTGAAAAATCGTCAAACCCAAAGCACAGAAGAATTCAAGCAAGATACGATGAGTTCCAACTTAACTCATGAACGTTCTTGTTTTAGAAGGGAGAAAAAAGAGTTCCGACCGCTGATAAACGAAGATTTTGTGCAGATTTGGCGCTCATATTGGAAATATACACTATAATTATCTCAACTCAGGGTTTATGGACTATAAGTGACAAAGTTCAAAATGTGCTATTCTATGTACTCCAGCAGTTAATGGACACAAACGAAACTCAGAAAAATTTTAAAATAATTTTTGTCAAAGTTCAAGAATTCTATTTGAAATTCATTCATTAACTTTACAAGAAATATTATATCATACATAATTATATCATATATCAATTGAAATAAATAAAGATAAATTTATATAATATCATAATCAATTACTTAATATTCAAAATTTTAATATCAATATATTATATATTAAATTTCATCCACTACACACATGCATTTTGAACAACAGGATAATGAATAAAAAATTTATTTTATCAAAAATTTAAAATATATATATATTTGATATTTTCAAATTTTAAAAATAATTTTTAGTTATATGAATTAAGGAAAGAACTCTTATTCAGTTTCAAAGATTGATCTATACTACCCAAATTCAATCAAAAAAATAAATATGATCATTCATGTAAATTAAAATTATTCATGTTATATATATATCTTAAACTACAAGTATCAAAGGTTTGGAAGCAAGCAAAGGATCTAGAGTATAAATTTATTGCTAAAAAAATCAGACTTATTTTAATTTCATCAAACAGAATATATGCAGCGAGTAAAATATGGATACTATAAGAAATATCAGATATCTTTCAAAAAGTCAACTTTTATCATTCATATATATTTAAGAACGTTAATTTACATGATGTAATCTTAATATAGACATTTTCTTATATATATATATATATATATATGATTAATTTCTATGTACATAACTTCATTACATGAAGCATTTGATTGAAAAATGAAAGAATTAATTGAAGTTTAAATAAAATCAGAATTCAAGAAAATATTAATAATATGCAGAATTTTTTGAACTTTATTTTCAAAAAAAACTTGTGAAAAAAATCTAACGTTAACTATATTAGATCTCTTGTAAATAAATATTTATTTTGTGATAAAGTTTCATTAAAATTAATATTTTAATTAATAGTTAAAATTAAAATTAATAGTAAAAAATAATCTTTTAAATACATACTACATTTTGAAAAATTTAATTTAAATGTATCAAGATGTATACTTTTCTTACATATTATTTTGCATGAAGGATTTTTCACTGATTCAAAAATAATTTATATGAGTTTGACTATCTAATGGATCAACAAACTATTGGAGGTATTTACTTAATGAGATCCCATCGGAACATAAATTGCTTGATGCTACTCATCAAGTTTTGTTTTACCCGATGGGATCCCACCAAAGTTACACCGTTGCAAAGTTCTAAACGTGATCATGTACACATCTGACGCGAACTATAAAGGATATTGATATACCACTCCCAATTTCGGCCTCCATTCTTTTCTCCCTAATCTAGATAGCACGTCGCCGTTAGCGTAATGATCAGAAGATTCCGCATCAGCTTTGTCGCTCCATCGCTTGTGACAACCAACATTTGCTCGTTGCTAGCTTCCGAAACGAGCTCGTGATTCTAAGCTCGACCGCTCGTTGAAGTCTTGCTTGAGGGACTTCATGCACATTGTGTAACCATCTTTAGTTAGTTAGAACTAAAGTAGAGGTTACTCTGAATATTGATGTAGATACTTTAGTGTGCACTAGTCATAGCTGCCACGTCAGCGATCCGCGCACTTGGTAGGTACAGAGTGGATGTGTTAGTTGACAGTGCCACGTCAGCAATCCGTGTGCTTGTAGGTAAGGATTGAGTGTGTTAGTTAGTGTGTTAGTTGGGTGCGCCACGTCAGCGATCCGTGTGCTTGTTAGGGTTATCCGCCACGTCATCCATCCACTAGGAGTGGTATGGATGGTGGGGATTAGATCTTATCACCTTGTACTTGTTGGTGAGAGCTATATAAGGGAGAGGAGAACCATTGTTGGTATCTCTCATCTTCAGAGTTTACGTTTCTATCTTCGAGTGAAATTCTCTCTAAACCCTAGTGTTACAATGGTATCAGAGCGACCTTGCTCTTTCCTTGAGTGTGGATTACCCCTCATGGAATAGCAAGTGAGTGATGATGGAGTGTAGTCTTGAGAGTGTATAGAGGTTGGCAGAGGTCATTCATCTGCATGTAGAGAGAGGTGGAAGGGGGACATTGTGTTTTTGCAGATATGGACGGGATTGACAGGAATCCAGTACCGCACTGGCCAATTCCTAACCTATTCGATATTCACCTTCGTTGCATGGAGAAACATCATTTTCGGATGTACCTTGTGGCTTGTTGGGGTGCAGATTTTATGACTAGAGTGATGGAGTCAAGAGTGCCACTGATTCTTCCAATAGTTACTTATGGAGAGACTTGGGATTGTACTATATACATTCTATACTAATTGTTTCATGGATTTGAACCGCGAACCACCTGTCCTGGTTCGATTCAGCACTTATGTAGAGATTAGAACAGTATATAGACAGAAGAGGATATGGAGAGATTTTCTTGTGAGGAATTATGGAGAGGAGTACTATAGAGCTGTGATAGAGTCACCTGCACCTTTTGTGACTCCTTTGTTGAGAGGTCACATAATGATTATACTCACTTTGTATTAGAAGGAGTTGAGAAAAGCGATAGTAGATGGGCATACCAAGCAGCAAGCCATGGAAGATAAAATCTTTGCATTAGAGAGTGAGAAAGTAGATAGAGAGAGAGTTGGAGAGATGGAAGTTGAACCTCAAGTTCAAGCTTCCCAAGTTCAGCCAGAACCAACTCCTATTGATGCAGCAGAGGCAAATAGGAGACGTCTTCAAGAGATTGAAGATCAAGCAAATCTTTTGCTTCGAATGGGAAAATCCTGTAAGGTGGAAGCTTACAAAGGGAGTAGAGCAATGGGAGTGTTAGAGGGATGGATTATGAGGATGAATATTCATTTATCCCATTTTCATGTTTCTGATTATATTGCAGGAATGTTCATGAGATCTTATCTTACGGATAAGGCTCTCACATGGTACACAACATGGGAGAGAATGCTTTCAGAACGAGGTGCTACCATTTCGTGGAGTGGAATGCAGGAAGGACTTCTGCAAAATTTTCAAGCGGTGGATTCTCTTCAAACTGCAAGAATGAAGTTGTGGGATCTGAAGCAGAAAGGAGGTATTCATGAGTACATTGAAGAATTTCGTGATCTTCAAGTATCTATCATGGATATGAGTGGAGCTGAAGCCTTGGACGTGTTCAAACGAGGCTTGAAAGATCGAATTCGAAAGGAGGTGATGGTAAGCAATCCATCTACTGTGAATGAAGCAATCGCAATTGCTCAACGAATTTCAGGTGCTTTTGGTGTCACACACGGTGAGCCAGTGAGCAATTTTAGAGATCCATCTGGTCCAACACCGATGAAGTTGGGAAACCTTCGACGTAGAGAAGGTTTTGCACCAACAAGAGGACCACCACCAAGATTTGGAGGTGAGATTAGGCGACCAGGAGTTCCAAATTTGCAAGAAGGTTATGCAAATAATGGAATGGTTCGAGGAGGAGCTGGAGTTCGTGACAATCGCCAATGCTATGCATGTGGACGAATGGGTCACATAGCCAAGTTTTGTCGAGTTCGGCCGACACAACAAGGAGGACGGCCCATGCAGCGACGACCGTTCAACAATATGGAGGGGATAGAGTATGAAGAGGTGGAGGAAGCAGTTTCGGGAAACGAAGATCACCAGTAATCTTGCCTCGCGGCCTTACTGGTTCTACAAAGCGAAGAAAAGGCGAGGTTGGAAGAAAGCAATGGTTGGGAGCTCATGGAAGGAGTAAGAAGCAAGCTCAACTCATTGTCACTGATGGTTTCATGGAAGGACACAAGGTGAGAGTTTTAATTGATCCTGGAGCAACTGAGAATTTTCTATCAAGGAGTGTTGCTATGAAGTTAGGTTTGATGTTGATGAAGGACGTGAGTGAAGAAGTTGAATTGCCAAACGGGCAAACTGAAGTGATAGAAACACTACCACGGAGTGTAGAATTATCCATAGGTAGATACAAGGAGAGCATTGAATGGAGAGTAATTCGTTTAGCTCGGTATGATGTCATCCTTGGAATGCCATGGATGGAACAATATAATCCGAAGGTAGATTGGAGAAGAAAAGTGATTACAAGTAGCGGATGGAAGATCTATGGAGATAGAATTAGATCTCAGAATAGGAATTTACCCCTCTTTGTGATGGGTACAGCATCCATTTCTAGAGATGATGTATGTTTCCTTGGACTTATAAGAGATATTGGGTCCACGGACAAACCTTACATCCCGGAGTCCTTGAACGACATTTTTATGGAGTATAAAGATGTTTTTCCAGATGATCTACCTGCAGGATTACCACCAAAGAGGCGAGTTGATCACAAGATTGAGGTGATACCTGGAAGT